AAACAAAGCAGTCCCCATGGGGAAATCTACGGATTGCAAAACCCTGCACCACACGCGCGGTGCAGAGAGCTTGCCTAAGAAGAGAAGCCCAGTTTCAGTCCCATAAATGAAAGGCACCGAGGGCATCGGGAAACCTGCACGTTCCAACCGCTCACCTGGCCCAGCAGCAGGATCCACCCGCCCTCCTGTGCAGAGCCTCTCGCTTGTRTTTAGTATTAAAGAAGAGTCTGCAAGAAGCTCCTGTGAGCCGAGGAGGAAGCAGGATACTTTGGGGTACACATCTTGGCTGCTTCTAGGGTAAGAGCAGTCCAGTGGCAGGAGATGGTGGGAGGAGAGACATCCCGTGGCGTGATAAATGTCTGCAGCAGGAGATACCCTTGGAGGGAGAGCGGAGAGCCGGCGACGGGCCGGGCAGCGGTGCTGCTGGAACGACTCCCTTCAAGCTGTTGTTTTGGCTCTGTCGGCGCAACCACAAGTCTGTTCATGTTAGGAACAGGCCTCTCTCTCCCTGGTTACTTCCAGGAATCGGAGTCACAGCCATCAACAGTTGACAACTAGAAAAACAGCACAAGCGCTGTAGTCGGGCAGCTTCAGTAGGTCGGAGGTTCCTGGTTCACATTTGCAGCAGAAGCACATGGTGATCTTGGTTTTTTTTTCTGCGTTGTTCACTGTGATGGCCCTGAGCAGAGGTATTTTAAGATGACCATATCTCCTTACACCAACAGTTATGAAATATCCGCTGTGAATCCTGCTGCTAGGTGGAAACGCACTGCGCCAGCCCCGTCGGGTGAACGCTTTGCAATCACACCTCTCAATGCTTCTGTCAGCCCAGGCTCGGGTTTGGAAATCAAACTGCATTTTAACTCCCTGAACCTGTTGTGGGGCCCCCCAAAGCTTCTGCTGAAGCTCAGAGTGAAACTCTATGCCAGCCTCAAGCGAGGGAGAATTTTCTGTGACTGAATCCTGCGGTTTCAGCTGGTTTTGCAATTAAGTTTGTGTCCTAGCTTCATTCTGAATTTCAGCTGGTGCCATGCTGCACTCAAATACCTTCACGTGAAACTCAAGTCCTTATGAGAACTCTCTCTCTGAATGTTTTCTTTATCCCTCTCCATTGGTCCCATCTCCTCCTCATCTCCAGTCAGGCCAAATTCACCTCTTGAGCCCAAGCGAATGCAGCCCACACGGAGCAGGCTGGTAGACCTTTCCTCCACTTGCAGTTTAGAAGCGCTAATTTCAGCCTTACCCATTTCTGTAAAAACACACAAACAAGGATCCTGAAAAGCACCTTTGTCCACTGTCCACAGCACTRAAGAGCCCCAAAGCCAAATAAGCATAAAAATGAAAGAAAGTGGTTAGGTGGGTACTCAAGGGCTTCAGAGCTCCCCAGGAGCCTCAGGCCAAGCTGCCAAGATTCAGTCTAGGGCCGAGAAACCAGAGGTCACACAAAAGAGGTCATGTTTACGTGCAAGAGTTATGTAGATGCAGTTATGTGCTTTGTTTTCTCAGTTAGACGTGTTGCCTCCATCTGTGTAAACAAGGAGCAGAGAAAGTTAACATTGCAGGGAAAAATACAGTAGAGAGAAAGGGCGTCTTTAGCAGGTTTTGGCTACAGAGCAAAGAAACACGATGGGACCAGGGCACGGGCTCAGTCGTGACCTCATTTCCAAACCCAGATGGGGAGTGAGAGGAATGAACACCCAACAAAAGGAGGAAAGGGGAAAGACCTTTAAAGGACTACGCTAGCTAGGCCAGCAACATGACCTATGAGAACTCAATTTTATTTTAATGCAGTGGGAAGTGTGCCCAGGATTCTAAATAATGCTCTGTGTTTGCTGTAATATTACACAGAGCTCCAGCCAGGCAGGGTCCTGAGTCGGCACAGCTGGAGAGAAAACTCAGCAGGAATCCCACACTAAAGCAGCAAATAAATAAATAAATAAACTTCAGCACTGTGCAGATAATTATAGGATTTTGTCATTACTGTTTACGTGCGTTATAAACCCCCACTTCAGCCCATAAAGTCCTTAACTACATTTCCTTTGTGCAGTGACCAACTTTTAGATATTACGTCCCTAAAAAAAAATAMAAAGAGAAAACTCATTTTAGTTCAATTTGGCTCATCTGCCTTGCCCTGCCCAACCCAACCCCACGCTCCCCATCACTTCCTTCCTCCTCCTTCTATCAAAGCTCCTCCTAAACAGTTTCAGGTGCATCTCATCCCCTYGGGTGCAGGTGGGGAGCTTAGTTAGTTTTTGCCACTGATCTGACTCACTGCCATTAGGCCAGGAAGTAACATGGTAAAAAGATTCTTAACTTAGGAGCAAGGAGGCTGCTGCTTTGTTCTTGTTCTTCACTTCTTTCAGCTACTTTCTGGTTTGCACCTCTATTATTTGCAAACCAAGTTAGTTCTGTTYGTATGTTGCATCTACCAGTGAGAACCTTTGCTGGAGCTGTGTTAYAATTGCAAACAAGCACTTAGTGTGATTTTTTTTTGAATAAATGATTAAACAAGTGAGGCCACGGTATACTGGGAAAAGAGCAGGCAGGCTCCACAGAGGGTACAGCATCCTGGAGCTCTGGCCACGGGGTGAGGATATGTTGGATCTTGCAGCAGATCCTCTTTGGCCTGTGTTCCCCTATGGAGAAACCAGGTACGAGGGAGACTATGTCAGGAACTGTTTCCTCTCAGCACCAGTTCACAGCAGGGTTGGGGCAGGAACCTGTCCAAGGTGGACACTGGTTCCATCTATGTATTCAGCCTGTGTATCATTCCTCCCAGGTTGAAAGCTCCAGAGATTTTTGTGAAACTACTTTTTTCTTAGCAGCCAATGTAGGGTTGTACATGGCTTTAATTTTGTTCAAGCTATCAGATAATAAGAGCCACCCACTGCTTTTGCTGCAACCTCCACTCTCATGCATATGTACATACGCCACCCAAATCTGCTCTGACCTGGATAGAGTGGGCAGAAAAATGGGAAACAGACAGCACCTGGTCCTTAAAGAAGAGAGAAGGRAAAGAAATGGTTTGCTTTTGATCTCTGGGGTGGGCATCAAGCGGTGGAGAGGAGGGAAGAGAASCAGGAAGCAGGGAAGAAGGTACCTGCTCTGTCAGCCCGGCATCCTTCCCGCAGAGGCGCACGGAGGGATCTGGGATGGCCCCGAACAGTGTCATCGAGGCTGGTGGATGTCGGGCAGCCCTGGATCCTGCAGTGCAACACAAGGCTGGGCATGGGTCAGAATGCATATTTGTAAGAGCAGGTCTGATGCCTATTTATGAATGCAGTTTGGAGGCCTAGCGCCCCCCCCCCCCACTCCCCTCCCAAATCCAGGAGCATCCGTGGACTTTGATTCTGCTCTCAAAGTGAATTTGTTGCTATTCTGTATGAGCAGCAACAGTTCTGCTTCAAAAGTTGGAGGCAACGAGCCGCAGAGTAAAAAGGAAAAAGAAAAAAAAAACAGGTGATTTGCATGACCTGTCTCCTAAGGGCAGTAATCTAAGAGGTGAAAACAATGCGTTATTGTTGTCACTGCTGTTGGCATGTTATTAACAGCAATCAAGAGCCTGCTCGATTCCTCTACCATATCCAAGTACAACATCATTGTCTATAGAAAGCATATACATTTTTCAAGTAATTGAAACAAGATGTACCCAGGAGAGGCTCGTGGACTGCAGAGCACGGAGMATCTAAAGTCACCTTCAGGGCTACCATTTTATCTTTTTCTGTGCATCCCAAAAAAAAGCTGTTTCAGTGAAAAAACAAAGGCCATTTTTTGAAAAACTGGAAGTCAAAACAAGACAGTGTTTCACACTGCACAGATACGTGCAGGTTATGCTGCCAGCACAAGTCTGTAAGTAACCAGCAATGTGCTGGATGCCTTTTAGACTTCTTTCCTGTATAAACTCTTCAAAACTGGAGGGCACATGTCGCTTAGACTGACATGCAAATCATTACCGCTTTGTCTGCCAGGAAATCTGTGTAAACCAATGCAGAGCTCAGGTTCATTATATTGACATTTTCACCAACAATTGAAAGGTTACATTGTCGACACACCAGATGTTATGCAAACTGCTTTTCAAACCCAGGTTTCCATACATCTCTACAAATAAATAAATTAGACACTTACAAATGGTGTGCGAATCAATATATGGTAAATCATCCATTTATATACACACGGCGAAAACTACTGTGTGTAAATCCCATATTTCACACAATGTCAAAACCTTCTTCACCCAGTCCTTTTCATTTTCCTGAAAATAGCTGTCATTATGTAAATGTTTTCCCTCAAGACCAACTGTTCTTCGTAGTACGAACGCGGCTGAACACGGGTGCCTGAATTAGCGCACAGTAACTATCCATGGGAGGGAAGCACCAGGCAAGGGCTTGGCACTGAAACAGCCCTAAGGATCTGGCTTTCTACATCCATCAGAGTAGATACAAATGCACTAACTTCAAACACRCTCAAGTGTTTAAATGTGGATTGTATCCAGTTTCAATGTAGCCGCAGGGGATTTTGCCCCCCTCCTGCRGCACTTTTTTCCTTTTGACTCATCTCTAATAACAAAAATAAGTAGAAGGGTTACATGTTGTGTCCAACACAAGGCTGATCTCATTCGATCTTATTTGGGCCCTTTTTTGCTGCAAATCACAAGTGAGTGACCTTGTGATTCTGATCTCAAGGAAGCAAAGACGGTTCAGAATCAGATCCTAAGGATAAGCCTCATTTTAGAATACCTTTGTGCTCCCTCGATCTTTGGACTAACCCAAAGGGGGCTGATGCCAGCCCGGCCTTCGGATACCTCCGGATACCTCAAGCTCCATTCCCGCAGCTATGGAAAATGCTGTTTTGTCCCTGTGCATAGGGGTCTCCCACCTGAACGGCTCCAGAAGTGTCCTGCAGCGCACTGATTTCTTCCTACATCCACTTTCCAACCTAGAGGTATCCTGGTGGAGACTGGGGCAAATCAGACTCCTTTCTTAAAATCTGCAGTTGCAGAGGAAAGAAACACCTCGGAATAACGGTGACGCCTTCTGCCAGTCGCCTCATCTCCTAATCAGAGAAACATCATAACAAATCAGCTTTTCTATAATACCTTATATAGATTCAACATACAGATGAAGAATGGTTTCAATGCGCTCAGAAGGTTCCTCCAAGCTGGGAGAAGCCTTGATCAGTTCAGAGATTTCTCAGCCAGCTGAGACACAGGACTGTGTCTTTCCCACTTTATAATTCTTCACAGAGTGCTCATACTGAAATTGTTTCATAACCACATGAATTTGGAGATTTCATTTCACCCTTGGAAGAAATGTAGAGTCTGGCACRACGACAAGTATAACAGTGTGTAAAAGCACAATTAACTTATGCTCCCACCCCATTTTTTTACATTTCTAAGGAAGCTCTGAGATTTCAGAGTGATTGTTTTCACTTCGGAGCCAGCAGCACACGATCCTGTCACTTCATCAGCCACGGGGTACAAAGAGAGGGCTCTGGGTCACCCGCGCGAGCCCTCCCGTGTTGCAGCCTGTCCCTGCGCTGCTGGGACACCGCACAGGGCACGATCTGCACCTTCCTATAAGAGAAATATTGAGGGAAAAAAAGGCAAACTGGAATTGCATGTGGCACTATGGGAGCAAGGCACAACGATCCCTTTGGAATGGTGGAAATGGGGCGCTTATTCCCTGCTGAGCAGTAGGGAAAAGCATGGACGAAGCGCACACCTTGCCACGTCAGGCGCACGAACCCCTGCACAAGAACCCCTGCAGAAGCCCAAAGAGAACACTATGCAACATTTTCTCCTTTTTTAACTGTTTTTCCAGTGGGAAATGCCAACTTTAAAACTATTTGCAGAAACGTTTGAGACTGACACTTTACCCAATCGATTGTGTCCTCTAAAAAGAGGAGAGGAATTATTTCAAAACTGCTGAAATACTCTGAAGTTCTGACAAAAAGMGGATTTTCTAGTACAACCAACTTTTCATTATGAAAGGTGATTATGTATAAAAAAGTAACACTTCAGAGATGAAAATTCAAGGATTTTTTTTCCAAAACAATAAAATTTGCCAAAAGATGTTAAAATTGTCCAGATATTTTGAGATCTTGACTTCTCAACTCATCTTGGTTAAGAAAGTATAAAAAATGGCTAAAAAGAAAACTGTACTCCATATGCAAAAACCCAGTACTGCCAAGGTCTATGAAATTTTGTATCTACCAGCTTTCCTAGGGCCTGGTTAGGATAGGTAGAGCTAAYTGTAAACATGTTCAGAATTGTCTCTTTGTTGGACCAACCTCTTYTATTGGTCTCTTTACCCAAAACGATCTGCTGTGCGGCTGAAACAGCGCAGCGTGTGGAAGTGCTGGTTACTGAGCCCAGATCCCTTTCCTATTTGTTTGCAGATGCTGCACGAGCAAGGCCAGGGTCATCCTATCCCGTTTCCTACCACTTGCTGCCCCGAGCCCCCCGAGTGACGCCACGTACTATATTTCACTCGTATTTCACCCTGTTCCTGATGACAGCAGGGCCTCTGTCAAAACAACAACAAAATAATGGTGTTGATCTTCCAGAATACCCCGGCAGGTGTCTGTTAGTCCTTCTGTCACCCTTTTGTTGACCTTTCCTTGGCAGCTCTATGTAGACACCTCACTAACCACCTGTGCAGACCAGAGGTGTGTCCGATTTAATCACCCTGGGCCCTAATTATCTTGATTCAAAACAAAACTCTGGAATTCATCYGTCTTAAACTCTCCCAGAAGTTTGTTTTAGATACCCTTCAGGCCTAACCCTTCTCACTAATAAGGGAAAAGAGTTTAAAACCAGTATCAAGCAGACTGTCACTTCTCAACCACCATCACTTGGATCRTAGATAGCACGAGGCACCAGTCAGGTATCATATTTCCATCAGCGTTCAATAAAATTACATATGCTTCTCCCTTATGGCCARCACCATAAAGACGTTCTGCCAGACATAATCATCTGTATCTAGCCTGGCAATTTATAAGCTATCCTAAGCACAGGCTTTGAAGAGCCTGGCTGTTAAAAGAGGAACAGCCAGCTGCAGCAATGTATAAAATTGCATCCGCAGCAGAACAAAACAACGCCATGCCAAGCCTCTGCTCRTTCCTTCTCACATGCCTCTGCCCAGATTTGTGCAGAGTTCTAAAAAAGCTGCTTAAATAAAAAAATAAATAGAGGATTCTGCCACTCCTAATGGTTGCAAGAGTCGCAAACTGAAAGACAGGCATGGGAAACGCAGTGGAGACTGGGCAGGGTTTTCAACACGAGCTGAAATTCGAAATTCTCCTTTTTTTTTTTTTTTTTCTTTTTTTAAATCTTGACTTTCTTTGTTAATAGAGTTCTAATGAAACACCCTCGAGTTCTGCTGCGGTTTGTGTCTATGGTTACTGGGCCAAATACCTGCACGTTTTGGTTCACAAGCAGCATTAGAGATAAGAGAGGGCAAGATCGTGCCCCAGTTTTACAAGGCTCGGAGAGGCACTGAGGGGCCATACAGACCTTGCTGGGCTGCCAAAGGCTTTCTCTGATCATTAAATAATGTAAAACGCTTATAATAACAGCTGGTGACTGATATATCCCCTTTGTACAAATGTTTCACGTTTGTCACCACAGCAATCGGGCGGGACAGCCCTGCTCTCCTAAAGGCTCCATGTGGCCCAGGGTTTTGGTGCTTACCAAAACCACAGCAGGACCTCAGGAAGGCTCTGATGCTGAGCCCTATCCCAGCATGAGGYGAGTTTGTTTCCTACTAGTAGTAATAAGTTTAAGGAAAACTATCATAGTCTCAGGTTCTGAAGATACCAAGGTAAGGCAGAACTTCTTAAGCAGTAAAAAGAAGGGATAGAAAATGTGTTAAGGAGGCTTTTTCCCCGAGTCACTTGGAAGCAGCTTTCCAGGAGAGGTATTCTCAATCCAGAGAAGGAAGGTAGCACTGGGCTTGTGTGTCAAGTGGCAAAAAAGGAGCGTGTTAGGCCTGGAGGTGCACTTTTAATTTGTTTTACTTAAGCCTCTTCATGTGAAAATTACAGCTGAGCGCTGCCAGATATTAACTTTCTGCTTTTCATATACATACATCAATTTTTGCCAGATTTCATGGTTTCAAGAAGCAGCTTATGAACTGCACATAAGAATCGCATGCACCAAACATGTCTCTCATGATCTTTGTTGATTCAGCCTCATTGCCATTTTATTAAAAAATAGTGTTGCATTTTTGGATGTCCCAGGACACCTGTGGGTGATCCGAGGCAAATGGCAAATTCTGCTTCACTGAATCACTTCTCCAGACAACTGTGCGACTTGCACAGTGAAGTACAACCYGACAGCGAGCATGAACCAGGACTTTTACCTCGAGCTCCTGGAGAAGTACCAACAGCCTCCTCCTTTTAAAGGAGTTTAATTGATCATCTTCCATTATTTTTGGTCGCTTAGTTCTTTTTTTATTGGCCTGCTTCCAAGTAAAGGTCCACATATTAACCTTGCCTCCATCACTTTAACTATCTTTCTCCGTCTGCCAGGGTGATCAAGAGAAGAACGGCAGAAAGGAGGGAGGCAGGATTGCTTCTGTCTTTGGAAATGGATCTGTAACCACCTTTTTCCCTTTTATGAATAAATGTACATCGCTGCAGAGAGCACCTAAAGCAGCACAAATCCACAGAGCAGTAACTTGACCAACGCTGCCYGCCACAGAGCAGAAAAGCAGAAGAGGTGGCTCTAGTGGCAACTGATGGAACAACCATCCCACACTGGAGCTCCACTACTCAAATTATATAAATATATACACATGCCCTATATAAATATGAGACTGGGGGCAGTAGCATTTGGAAAAATTTGGATTTAGTTTAGCTACTAAGCTTTCCAGGACATATTTAGGATATAGGCAATGAGTGTTATGTCTTCCACAGCCATGCAGGGATATGCACRTGTGGTCTAGTGTGCTGAGGATACATCACACTCACTGGACATGCATAGCTATGAGTACAGTATTTGTATGGTCAATYCAACACGCTCAGGATCCCATGTAGAAATATCCACAGCTCCCTGACTGTGAAGGACTCAAACTCACGTGGCTTCCACCAGCTACGTTCCATCTCATTCTCCAAGTTCAGCCTTGGTTTCATATTGGTTTGGCAACTCCGAAGGTCCAGAATATTTTATGGATAACCTTAGGCATGAGAACATAGATTGAATTTAGAGTAACTGAAAAGAAGACTCAAATTGACAGAAGTTTTCCATCTCCTGCTGCTCCTACAGGTATGGTGCCCCTCTACCCGGCTCCCTCCCTCAGGATTATGTTCACATGGCACAGGACAGCTCTGCAAATAGCCCTGAAACACACAGATATTTTAGAATGGCTGCAAGAAATAAGGCAGGACTGGAATCAGATGAAGTGAAATACAAGTTTACCTAAGAAAAAGCAACTCTGGAGTGATGAGTCAATGAAATTCTTGCAAAAGGAGTGATAAGACACTCTTGTGACAAAAGGAGATTCAAAACAGGAAATTCATAAGAAATAGAAACACGTGCCCACACGTTCTTTGATGTCCCCATCAGGAAGYAAACGTGGCAAAATGCACGTGCCTACGCCTTTCCTAGAACACAAAGCTGCCAGGCAGGAGGGCCTGAAAGAGGAACTAAAGATGACTGTGCAAAATTTGTGCTTTCTCACATACTCTTTAGAAAGTCGTATCTTTAAATCCAAACTCTCTTGTGGAGCTTGCTTTGTAACTTATATTCTTTATATATTATAACCATCCTGATATGGTTGCAAATGATAGTTCCTTTAGGATAATGATGGACTGTTCTAACACTGAATGTGAAATCTAGGCTCTGCCCAAGGAGCCTAATATCTAAATGCTCAAGAGATGGGAAAAAAAACATGGAAAAAAGGCTCCAAAAGCCAACCACGACAAGTACTCTCAGCACACCATGTTCCCTGGCATTGCCAGCTCTTCTTCTAGACATCACAAATGAAGAAAATACTGCTTTCATGGTCCTAAAATAACCTATATTTCAAATGTTGTGTTATAAGTATGTTTTGATCAGCCACATGATCTTTGGGATGAGACTAAATAGACAATATCTCAACACACAAATAACTCACCAGTATTTCTCTTCTATCTCTGTTTCTCAAATAATATTACAATCTATACAAATGATATTTAATTATATGCTTTAAGTGATGAATTACTGTGCCTTAGTCCTATTATGAAAACACATTTTCTGGATAAATGAGACCTTTTCATAAAATCAAATGTTTACTACTAACTACAGTCTTGCAATTGTTTCTGGCTTGTGAGGTTATAAGAATCAGGTCTGTGCTGTACCAGTTGCACTAGGAAGACAAGATCCTTCCTTCATCAAAATATTTTGAATAAAATAAATTGACACCAAGGCATAAAYGACATGGTCAAAATAATAATTCTAAGAATACTATTTAGCTCAAAGCAAACTTGACAGAAACACTCCTGATAACATCAGTACAGGAAAATCCTACAGATAGTGAGGATGGTTTGTAAAATAGATAGGTTGGCCTATATTATTTACATTGCAGAACTGTAATTTTTGAAGTACTGGGAGACACTTAGATGCAAAGTCTAGTGTCTCACATCAAGCTGTGTCTCTGTCTGAATTACAGATAGATTAATTGTGACTTGGTCTGTGTTCCCATACCCAGGAATGATTGACAGACTGGCCACAGAGGAAGGACTAAGTGGAATTTATTCAGACCCTTTCTCCTCCAAGCAGAGGTAGAGATTAGATGAGAGGAAATGATGCAAACCTCAGCTTGGTTTGCAGGCAAGCGGCTCTTTCACTGTGTGGGGCAGGAGACAGGAAGGAGAAAATGCCTCCTGTGGTTAAAAGGCTACCAAAAAATTACTGGCCTCCMTCGAAGTGGAGGGAAAGCAGGGGAAAATGTGAAGGGACACCTAAATCTGCTCAGATTAACCAAAAGATGATGCAATTTCCACACTACTTACTGCACTGGGTGATACCTGTGGGCATAACCTAGAGATACAAACATACCTGAAGGTTTAAAATTTAGGTCTGCAGGCAARTATAGATCCAAAAACCTCCRTCTGGCCCTTCAGCACACATGGAGGCTGTTTTCAGAAAAGCAAGGGAAGTGGCAATGGAGCCTCTCTAAGGCTATTTCCATTATTAGCATTATATTGATCACCACTGGGTAGCAAAGGACACTGCTTTTCACCATGGGGTCACTAGTTCAAACCAGGCTGGGAGTGACAACAAATTCAAGTGTTTACCATCTAATGACAACAGTTTAGTGGCTGAAATCAGCTGGCTGTAGCACTGATTCAGGCCTCCATCTGGGCACACTTTCAGAACCGATGCCCTCCCTGTTCTACAAGACCTACCAGAGCAGCAAGTTCAATGCAGTGCAAGCAGTGACCAAGGCAGTCTAGGAAAGGGCTGTTGACTGCTGCTTTCCTGGGAAGCCCCAAGGAAATGAGACCTATCTCAAGAGCTTCTCAATCAGCAGAACTGGGAACAAAAACAAACAAAATAGTTGGTGGTCCCCACTGTGTTTCTTGTGGATAGTGACCCATGTTGCAAAAGCTTTCCCTGTGATTGGCACTAATTGCCCTTTCCTGCTGAGCTCTTAGCCAAGAAGTCAGAAATGGAATTATAATAGGGAATAAAGGTCAGCCTGACAAAAGCATTTAAGTCCCCCAAACTTCCAGTGAAACCAATGGGAATCAGGAATCAGGCCCTGGAATCAGGACCAGGAATCAGGACTTGGACTCACCTAAGCTGCAGTAAGTCAGCCTAGGTCTTACTTCTGGGTGCTGTTGTCTCTCTTGAAAGAGAAAAGCACCTCCAGAAGTCAAATGAGAGCTTTGGGGGGCAGTTAACTCCCTTGGAGGTACTTGTCTCCGTTGTTAATCAGGAAGAACCATGGAAACCCCTAACTCTTAACACGTCAGAAAGCTATATCTAACCTGACACATCATGAATCCTGGTTCTAAGTCACTCTGTAGACCACAGTTAACCCTAGTGCCACACTACCAAGCATACCTAGATGACCTGGAAGATTCCAAGTTGAGTTTTATTCCACTTCTTTTTATAAAATTTCTTCATAGAACTTCTACTATCTTTTTCCTGTTCTTTAGACACACATTTACTAGAGCCTGTAAACCCATAGCCAAACCAAACCCATAGTTAAACTGAGTTAAATTGGGTTATCAAGGGTACTAGTAACTAGCAGGCTGCAAGCAATGTGGTAAAGCAATTCTCAATCTGCACATGTTGTAAAAAAAAAAATTAAAAAAATACACAGTGATTCTCAGACACAATCAAATGTTATTTCTCTCATCAGAAAGCAGGTGACTAACTGAACGCTTGCTGTGAAGAATACACCTGTGGTTATGCAGGCCTTAAAGACATGGTTTCTAATATAAATTAACTAAAGTGGTTCATTGTTAGTAAGTTCAGCACAAATATGCCTCTGTTGTGTCAGTAAAACTTGCTCAAGAAAATATACTTTTTCTCTGCTAAGATTAATACTCTGAAACTAGTGCCTTAGCTGTCAATTTTACTGTAGTTAGCCTCAACACCTTAAATTAAGGAGTTCCCAGTAACCAGAAACATGGTAATTTGGAGAAGCAGGTGGAAGGTTCTCATGGTAGGAGATACATACCTGATGGACAGAAAGGGATCAATCCATTCAGCTATTCTGTGCTCTTACTTTTCCATTCACACGCATATTTTTTAGGTATAATCTTCAAAAGGTCGTGTTCTTCTCTACGTTCCTTGCAGGCATAAAGTAAGTCGCAAGTCTTCAGACAGGCAGACGTGTCAGAGAGTGGAATATCAGAGAGCGGATCTGGGGCTATAAAGAAAAAGGAAAGTGAATCAAATRAAACATGAACGGTCTCATTATGCAAAACTAAATTGGTAGTATGGGATTCTAATAAAATCAAATTAATATTTGCAGGAAAACCAGTTGGGTTTAAGTGAGAATTTTCCTACCTGATATTTCAGCACTTAAAAGTGTCTAATATTTAAAAGTTGCCATTTCAAAACAAATAGTGATGTCTCAATGGAAAACGTTAACATTTTTGCACGTGAACATCACTGATTCTTGGAGAACATTTCATTCTACAGAACTTTCACTTCTACCTCCAATTCTTAAAAGAAGAAGAGAGAGGAAGGGGATTTTCTAGCATAGCAAACATTGTTTGGGATCACGGACTCCTCGACGCTCGCTGGGAAGGTGAGTTTATGCAGTAATTGCTCTGGCTTGAAAGGCAGGGTGCAACCCCGTCTCTTTCTTAACTTTAGCTTGGAGTGAGTGTCAGATCCCAATGTAAACTTTCCCATCTGTGTTATTCTATTAACTGAAAGGGAAAGGGATTAGCATGTGTACTTGTCACATCTTTTGACCTGTTGCATACTGAGACCCAAGGTAATGTTAAAGCAAACAGCATTCTTCTCTCTCTGCCAGGATAAGCAGGGCAGGGGGGTGGTGTTTCAGTGAAAGCAAAGAAAGCCAGACCACGTCAAACAAAGTATGTGCCCTGTGCAAAAATAAATCTTGAAAGCTGCAGGCTTCCAAAGGGTCTACCTTAAACAAGGCGCGTGCAAGAGAGAGCAAACATTTGAGAGGAAAGTGCCCCTCTCTGCCAAGCACCAGATGGAAGGTCTTCCCACGGAAATAGTGACAGCAGGCAGATCGCCGATGGAAGCCGCTGCCAAGCGAAGGAGGTCCCTTCTCCTCTTGCTGCTAGGAGCTTAGTGGGTGAGAGTATAATACTCTAAAACACTTGTTCCAGAGAAATGGCTGGAACGCAGCAAAGAGCTCCTGAAAGCAAGAGAAGGCGGCTGCTTTGCCTGAAAGGAGTGTGAATTTTGGAAAGCTGGTGTTGCTTGAGGCTTTATTCCTTCTTTTCACACAGATTCCTGGAATTTTTGTTTGTTTGTTTTCTGCTGCTCACATGCATGTACCCCAGCATGCAGAAAAACAACAATAACCATCTTCTTCCTTTCTCTGCCTCCCTCAAGTGCATCACAGCGATGGGGACAGGATGAAATGCTGGAGCTGATGCTGACAGCATCACATTGTACATTTGGGTACAGAAGGTTTAATGAAGCCAAGCCCCAATTCCTTCCCAAATATTTCACAGTTACCTTGGCACTAAATTATTCAGGTGGTTAATAAACAATATTACCTAGAGCATATCTATAACATATCCAGAGCACAATGCTCAGATTTGGACCACTTTGGACCACAGCAAGGAAAAGGCTGCACAGAGAGATGGTGAAATATCCATCCTTAACAACATTTAACAGTTGACAGTACAAGAGCCAGAGCAACCTGACCTGCCTTGGAAGTTGACCCCTTATTAAGCAGGAGGTTGGTCCAGATGATCCACAAAGCCCTTTCCAATCTTAATAATTCTAAAAATATTTAAGGTTTTTTTCAATGAGGCAGGCAATCACTTTCAGAAAGCTCCATCTCCTATTTCAACTATGGTGTCCCCCTTTAAATCTAAGTTTTTACTCCCACAAATCAGAAGACACAATAAAGGMTCTTCCAATGCAGAAGACACTGTGTGTTATGTGTTACAGCATCACAAACAGCAGGACCAGCAGGCCAAGGCCCCACTGCACGGGGCCCTGTGCAAACGCAGAACAAAACCCTGCCACCAGCTGCATGGTGACTTAAAGCCTCTCAGTTCAGCAGAGGTACTTATATTGATATTTGTACATACTGAGAGCTTGATATCACCCATTCACTAGCAATTTAGGAAGAGCCAAAAGTGGCATTTCCAAAGGCAGACTAATGAAAGGTCACTGTATGTGCTTACCGACCTAAAGAACAGAATTTCCAAATGGGGAGTCCTGACACTATCCATRTAGAACAGTTTGGACTTAACCATCTCTGAGCTTAAATATTAGGAGAGCTCATTACTCAAAGTCATGTGTGAAACTGCCTGAGGTGCAGATTTTCATATACACATAGACCATTCTCTTTACCCAAACAAATAATATATGTTTTTTCTCATGTGCAAGTAAAAACATATGCAAATATAAAGACAAAGATACATATATGTCATACACGCTGACAGATGAAGAAGCTGAAGATTGCTGGGTCACTGCTCCTGTTTTAGACATTTGCAGCAGAATAAAGTGCAGTTTTATAGTAAGAATAACCATGTTTCTCCATTGTCTATACAGACAGCCCTAGTTAGATGTTTTTGTGGTCAGGAAAGTCTCTCCTATGATCCAAAAAGAAAGCATCACTGTTCACTTTGCATCAGGCATATGTAAGTCTCATGAAATGGAGAAACAATATATGCTCTCCTCAAGATTATTTTGTCTGTGTACCAAGTAAGTGTCTTTAAAAAGACTACCAGCTTGCTCGACACAACTTCCTAGTACTCCTTGGCAGTTTTTCATTCTMGTTCTATACCGACCAAATAATCTGGCTAATGCATTTTAATCCTTAATTGAATTTTTCTTACATTTTTTTCCACCTGAAGAGAATATTAGTTCAAGGACCGTGTATTTATAGCCCACTGGAATGCTGAAATGTCAATGTTCTCGCTACCAGGTACTGCCAAAGCCTAAGGACACACACATTCATCTACATACGTGCACAAAGAGGCAGATGTGCACACCAGGTACACCAAGGCTCCCAATGCCAAAAGAAAGGTACCTCACGATTTACCCTTATTTTAGCAGAGCATAATGAAAAGAAAACATGGCATGGAATATTTAAATATCTATTAAAAAATACTTAAGTTATATTACTTTTTTTTTTCCAATTAGAGTCTTTTAATCTGTCTTCCCCTCTATTTAACTGCAATGTATCGCTTCTCAAAGTCTGTATTTGAAGCTGCTGGACTTCCATTTTATCCCACTGATAACTCCAAATCTCTGCTTCCATTTCTTAGCTGACAGGGCCTGAAAACTACACAGGATGGTGAAGTTTCTGATGAAAATTGCTTCTGTTTTAGAACAAGTGAAAAAAAGGAGCGTCAAAACGCTACCGAGCCATCCTTTTTAAAGCTGGGTGTATTAAAAACACAGTTAGTAACAGCGAATGTCACTTGTAGGATCTCGTATGTAAACTAAAGGTGCCTGTTATATCAAATGCCAAATGACCCGGTAGCTTGAATGGAGCCATGGAGAAAACTCAAAGCACGCTGAGCTCTCTGAAGACTGGTATATCCTTCAGTTAGTCAAGTGATACCTGACTAGGTCTTGTTTGCACTTGGCTGTCCCTACTCTTAYCCATTATTTGCTAGCCATTAGTGTCCCTATAAACCCTAGTCCCAACACTGTCCTGCTACCCGATTTCTGTCCCCTCTGCTACCAGTGCTATCCACAAAGCTGACAAAAGTCATGGTTCAGGTTATGCAGCTCATCTTTACCTTAAATAAAGACATACTGCACCAATATTAAATCTTTTTAAATTTGTCACCTTCACTTTGTAAAAGTCCGTGTGAGGAAGCACATCAGGATCTGCTCCTAGCCAAATAAAAATGAGATCCACTCAGCTTCAGTTCTAGTTTTGGAGCATGGTTTATTAGAATATAGATGTGCATTGATGCCTACCGCCTTGCTTCTTCTCTCATTCTAATAAAGTCTCACTATGTTAACACAAAGTACTCAGAAAAGTCTTTAAAAGGGGRAAAAAAATCAAGCTAAATCAACTCTCAAATTCCCATGTAAACTGGGTTTAAGAGTGGAAAATTTCTTTTACCTATTCTTTGGGTGGTACAAAAATCTAAAATTCCTATAGCCCTGCTTCCCTTGGCCAAGTCAAACAAGGATATTGTCCTTTTAATGTCTTAAAGGCTCTGTTTTCTTGTAATGCCAAATGCAATATTTTTTTGAAAACACTACACCAGAAGTTTCCCAGCTGAGAAAACAGGCTGGTGAAAAATGGTTTCAGAAAACGAAATAAACCATGCAAAAGCTGTTCAGGGTGTGTGTATGAAATGAACATCTGGATTTGGCTTGTTAAACTGCCTCCTTTTTTCTCTTCCTCCCCCTCTTTCTTTTTCCCCCCTTTTTCTCACAGCTGTTCGAAGGAGTCCTAAGGGCAAAGAGACAGGTCAATGGACTGGGTTACACCTTTTTTTCTTGCGCTTTTTTTCCAAACCTCTTTGCACCTACGCAAGGAATCCAGGCCACATGTGTGTTTAATAAGTGGGCACAAACACAGGAGAGAAAAAAATATCTCCATTCCTGTTGGTTCTTACGAGAGACACTAAAGGAAAAATAAACTCCGGATTTCAAATTTTCTCAAAAAAACAAAAAAAAAAAAAAAAAGGGGGGGGGGGAACCTTATGGTTCCAATAAAGTACTTCTTTAAAAACCCAGTGGATTTTTTTTTCTTTTTTAATCAAGGTCTTTGCTGAGTGTATCACTTTCTCTGTTTCTTTAGAGGGGAGTAATAAGGGGTTAATCCATTACCTGCTGCAGCAAGAGAAAATTAGAAAAGCCCATGTCCTAGGTTCATTGAACTGAGACCACAAAATGAATATATACATTTGTATCAAACGGGCTCATATTTAATTTCAGACTGCAACTTCCCCAGCTGGACTAGTCCAGAAAYGAAAGAGAGAACAAAGGAACTGAGAAGTTATTTGGAGAAGATGTTTTCTCAGAAACAGATGATTCGCTTTTTGTCTCCTGACAGGATGGTCCTGGGCATTGCTAAAGCTTGGTGCCAGTAAAAGATCATCCCTCAACTRAGTGAACCTGCTGCTGAAAGAGCTATAGGGGTTTCCTGTCACACACCACTTGWAGATGCCATGGAAGGGCTCCACCAGGACCAACCCAAGTCTTGGATCCGATGAGTTTACCAGGGATTTCGGC